CCTTCAACTTTTTAACCATTAAAACTGTTTCCTAAGCACAGCACGACCTTCTGCACTAGAACTTCCCAGCACAAGAACACAGGCAGTGATAAACCTGCTGAGAAACCACAGGGGTGGGAGCAACAGGACCTGGTCATTGCTCTACTTGTCCATGTCCACAAGGAGGGCAGAAACATCTTGAACGTTTTGGAAGCACTTTGCAGCACATCTGTAGCCTGTCCCTTGCTCAGCACCAGCGACCCCAGGGACACCCTTGTTCAAGGCTGCCCCATGGACCGACTCCACCAGCCTCGAACAAGCCTCCATATCTGAGAGCCTCAAGCAAGGAGCCTTGCTGCAGCAGGGCTTTGCTGCCCCCCCTTCCACTCGTTCTGTGGGAACCAAAAAACAAAACACACACCAACACAGTCAAAGAATTTGCAAGCATCTAACTTTTTCTATACACTGGGAAACTTTTTATATATTTAATTTACTGGTACCTGTGTGTGTGAAAACCTGCAGAGTTCATATAGGATGTGAGTCCAGGTTAAGAACTTTCCTTTAGGTCCAAGTGCACTGAAACGTGCCTAATAAAATAATTTACTTGATGCTCCATATTTTGTTGGAAGCCCTGACACTTTGCCTGTCACTTGGGAAAGGAAGGTGTTGGCATCCTGCCCATCGAGTACATTTGTTCTCAATTATAACATTTCTTTCAACTAAGAAGACAAGAGTTGGCAAGTTACCATGTAAGGGCAGAAGTTTAAGGAGACAGCTTTATCTTACCTTGTTCACTGATGGTTCTCTGCAACCCATTGGATATATTTTCTTTATTTTAATGACTTCAGTAAAATATTCCTATTGCAAAACATATGAGCAAGTCCTGCTGCTCTTTCCTCTCTGTCACTGTCCAGCGAGCAAATCCGCGGTGGGTTTGACACCTGGGGCAAAGTTTGTGCACCACATCTCTTTGCACGTTGCAAAAGTCTGCTTGACCCCTCTTCCTGCAGGAAGACAAGTGAGAAGACAAGAGGGAATGGAAAGAAAAGCCGAAGCAGACCCAGGAGCTGTGCTGCATCCCCCCGCACAGCGCGGGCTGGCAGCGATGCTTGTGCCTGGCTAACACGGAGGGTGAGTGTTCAGCTCCAGCCCAGCTGGGTGGAGGCTCCGTGGGCACCTTCCTCCAGCAGCTCCTTCAGCATCACATCCTGACCCTACGTTTTCCACAGGTCTCCTCTCCTGAGGACACGTCAGCAGGAGGGAAGCACATCCAGCGGCTGGGAAGGGAATTGCTCACTTTGCCTCATGCAAAGTTTTGGCCGAAATAAATAAATAGACCTACTTCATTCCATTCTGTATGTATTCTGCATCTCTAAAAGAAGGTACAGCATCGAGGATCGAGGTTTTTCACAGTGGGAGAACTGACACTGGCAGCTTGTACCTCATAGCTTAGGTCAAGAAGCTTTTCTCCATTTATGCCTACGCTACCGACTGCTTCGGCACTCTTAGAAACGCCACGTTCCCCAGCACCTGCAGCACTGCGGTTACTCACAGAGCTCTTCCAGTAACTAGAATAAGGACTTTCGTAGAGTATTTTCCCACATGAGGTCGGTTGTGCAGCACATTCTGGTACTCAGATTTGAGCTCTATCACCGGGACATACCTCTTTGGAAACAAGCTCTTGATGTGCTCCGACACCTGTTCCTCCGGCCCACGGTGATGGACAACACGGCCTAGCTCACGCCTAGCTCATCCCCACTTCCCAGGAGCAGATCCCACCAAACACACACGCAGCCTTCTCCGGCCTGCGGGCGCTCCGACTGCTACCGCACCACAAGGAGCAGCCCGGAGCAACATCTCCTTCCTTGGTGGTGCAGCAAACAGCCTTGGAGGTTACTGGAAACCTGTCGGCTCGTAAGAAGAATTAATTCAGGCACCACTTTATTCCTTTGGGGCTTCTTCCTTTTTTAGCTGCCTTTTACCAGTCTCCACTCACAACACCCATGCTGGAGATGAGGACTAACCCACAAGGCAACCTGAAGGAAACGGGCTCTGGAGTGTCCAGGACTGGAATAACACTGCAGAGGAAAATTTAAATTACACTTTATGACACAGAGATAGCCAGAAGAAGAGCAAACAACCTACTCTTAACCCTTCGCTGCAATAATCAGCTGTGATACTTCCCGCCTCACCCGGCACTTCTGTTCTTTAGAAGCAATAATCAGCTGTGATACTTCCCGCCTCTTCTTTGAAGAAGAAACTTATCAAAGGCCTTGCAAAATTGCAGATAAATTGTATTAACTGGTTCCTAATTATCCATTTTAAGCCTGTGCTCATGACTTGATACTAAACTGATTCAGCTTTTCCTGCTTTATTAAAAAATGCACAGTTAGAGCTAAATATTCATTCTTTTCAAACATATTAATTAAACGGCAAGGAAATCTTTAAGCCTGACACCCAAGACAAGGAGGTAACACGGAGATTACTGCCTAATACCCAGTAATAATAAGGTACCGGCAACAGTTTTTCAATTAAGGCCCCTGCTACCAATTTCTCCTTTTATAGCGCATAAAAGAAGGGCTAATAATAGAGCTTACACGCTGATAATATTCACTTTAGCAATTTCAGCACCACCTCTCTAGCTCTGATACACCCTTGCCAGTGGCCAGGGTTTGACCCGGGGCCTGTCATGCTGCATGGAGAAGGCAAGACTTCAGTGTGGTGGTGCTCTTTTAGCTGCAAGGCTGACACCAAATTCCTGCCTCGGCTGCAGCAACATCCTTATGCTGTCAGCTGCTCCAAGGTTACTTATTTTTGGCCTGCGTGTTGTTTCCCTGTGTCTTACCTTGATCTCTCATCATGTCCTTTACTGAAGACTCACGAATCTATTTTATGCAACTATATATTTACTTCTTGACTACCACTCATGCCGTGACCATTTTAATATCTCCATTTCTGAGAGCTGGTTCACAGCAGCTGCTCAAACCTGGCAGATGTTTCTCCTTGTGGGAGTTTGTGGCTCTAGAGAGCAACTTGAAGAGAGCAGGAGGAGCCCTCCTCCTCCTCCTCGCTCAGGCCTCCCCGTTGTGGGTCTTCGGGCAGCACCAGTACACAACGGGGGGAGCTCCACACTTCCCCTCAGGCCTCTCCCTCTTTGCCAAGTCTTTTTTGTGGAGATGACGAGATTTTGCTTTCCTTGTGACTCAATACAAGAGTAACTACTCAACACGAGGGTATTTACCTGATTTGTAAAGGAGGCAAGGGAATTTTCAACAAGACCAAATCCTATACCCAGCTCATGGCACAGTCTCACCATCAAGTAGGTCTAAAACGTGCAGTCACGCTTCAGGCACGACCCCCTTGCTGCCTCCTTAGCCCGGGGCAGCGCTGCACCCTGTTATCTCGCTGAGTAGCTCCTGCTTTAGCTTTTCCAGAGGTCAGCCGCTATTCATCCGCGATAAGTACATCCGGTGTGGGAAGCCAAATCCTTAATCCTATTTTGTGTGTCTGCTTTTATACACACTTCCACAGCTCTCCCCCCTCAAGCCTTTGCTTCATACAAGAAAATCCTCGTCTGCTGCTCCTGCTGCCTCTGCTCTATGTCAGAGGTTCCAAAGGGAACTTCACTCTGCCTGGCTTTAATCCTTGTGTGTATAATAGAGGTGTTTAAAACTAACAAACACCATTGTTACTTAAGGCACAGAACTACATGAACTTGCACATCCACTAACTGAATTAAGGACTGCAATTACCATACAAGTTCACACTCCCTGAAAAATACAGGATTAATAGGATTTTTCAAAATGGCTCAAGTTAAGGGCTTGTGCACTTACTTGAGGGGTTTATTTCCCTTTGACATATTTTCCTCAAGCCCCTTCCACACAAGAATCTCCTCAAAGCTTATCGCAGCATGGATATTGATGGATATTTCCTTTCTGTATTTGGGCTCACATGGGCCTCACCAGCCTCCTCTGCAGAATCATCTGCCAACAGCTCCAGCACGTGCCTATAGGAATGACTCCTGCCCCCTTTTAAATGGCTCTCAGCTCTTAGGAGGATAAAAAAGAAAGAAGAGGAAGAACAATGACACTTCTGTGCTTTCCACAAGTAAAGATTAAGAGCAGCGTATACATATATATTATATGTGTGTATAAAAGCACACACGTGTTTGGGAAAATGACAGGTATTTGCAGCTCCATCACAGTTCCACTGCACTGTTTTGATAAGTCTGAGACTAGGTAAGCACCTGCTCTTCCACCTGTCATGCTTGACTCATTTTCCAACTCCTCTGAAAAACATATATTTTGCTATATATATTTGCATGTTATATGTGTGTATATATTATACATTTTATATATGGATATAAACTCATCTGTATCTCTACTGAAACTGACCCGTCAGTGGGACGGAAATAAACATTTTAAACAGCAAGCAGATATTTAGGCTGCTCATGGAAAAGGCAAAACCCCAGTAACCACCCCAGCATGTTCACCAGTCAAGCTGAGGTAAAGGAACCTCCTCATCCAACAGGATGCGGGGCTGCTGAGGCTTCACCTGCACCTCCCTTACTGAAGCACTGCTTATTGTGCAAGAGGACAATTTTTCCCTAGATTAAACAGGAAAATTGCCTTTGATGAAAGGAGGTAAGTTTACTATACCTGAAAGCAGTAGAACAATCAAATCAAAAGGCATTTTAACACCACAGATCTTCACCCAACAGTGAGTATTTTTAACATAAAACAAAGAGTGAAGTAGCCAGTGAAGGGTAACTTTGGATTGATTTTGTTTATGCACAGAAGAAACTGGCTACCTACTGGTTTTTTTTGCATGGTATCTTCCCTTTTCTCATTGGACTAGAAGGATAAATGTAAAATGTAATATTATAAATAATCATTTCAACAAGATAGTAAAAGAAGTAAAAAAAGAAAAGAAAAAACACAACAACAACAGTTAAAAAGCAACACCAAAAAGTGTCTTATCCAGAAGCAAAGAAGCAAAACCCAGGTTCATCCAGACTCTAGATTTCAACATTGTTTATTCATTTTCTCCTGTAATAAAGAGGTGCACATTTTTTTTGGACTGCAGCATTTGAGCTGTGCGATCTATGCCAACAACAGCAGCCAATTTCTGGGCATCGTACTTGGAATAGAGGACAGTACAGGTCCAAGTGGCATCCACTCCACTGTCTGTGGCTTTCATCATATTACAAATCTCACTGTAGAAGTGGGGATAGGTTGGTAACTCGTAGAAAATGAGGTTCTTGATGCCTTTTATTGTGTACCTGGAGGAGGAAAGAAACAAATCACATCGGCCTGCAAATTTCTACAAAATGTGGAAGTTAAAACAGTCAATCCTGTCTCACTTCTCTTAATTTCCATCAGTTTCAGTGCACATTTGAGTCATTAGCTCAACTTGACAAACTCTGCATCGTGGACAGAAGACTAGTTTGCCACAGATACAAAATTAAGAGCCCTAAGGCTACCAGGTACTGGGACTCTTTCTTGAGTACAGAGTACCACAATTTTCTACAGAATTCAGCTTCTTTGGCTTGAACTGCAAGACAGCAAGGCCTGGTCTGGTTGAGGCTTACAGAACATTTCATATTTGACAAAAGAAAATATCTAGTAGGAAAAAAGAGTTCCATCTCCAGGCAAGCTGTCTTTCCCAGTTGTGCTGGCTGTGTTCCGCCACATTATGGAACCAATGCCATGCCGTTTTTGAGATGTTATGTAATTATTCTGGCACAAATATTAATGAAAGGCACAATGAATCCCAGTTTGCAGGTCTCCTGAAATCAGTGGAACTTGGCAATGCTTATGTTCCTGAATAAAGCCCTACACACATCAAAGCATTACAAGTTCTGCAAGGGACTGCTGACAATGTTAAAAATCCCCTGCTATATGAAAAGATCTTACTTTGGTTAAAGCCTCCAGACACTCAGCTGTTCCAGACAGCAATATAGCCCATCTGTGACTAATGCCAGACTCGACCTCCACGAGAGCACACATGCACATCAAAGGAAAACTCAGCCCACAGTTCACCTTTTGTAAAAGTGGAAGCGCTCAGTGAGCAGTAAAAACTGCTTTTCTCCCTTGAGGAAGAAACGTCTTGCTCTGCAGATACCAGCCTTTTTAGTGTATTCACAAATGTGGACAAAATTCAGCTCCTCTTTCTTGAAGTAATTTCGAAGACGCACATAGTCAAAATACGACGGAACGTATACGAGCGTGTGCGACATGATGGCATCGCGGTACTCGGGCAAAACTTTGTCAATGAAGAACTGGAACCTGAGAAACGAACACAAAAATGTCTTAGCCAGAATTAACACCCACCTTCCCGATGCCGATATGGTCTCAAAGAGAAATACCAGATATACAGGATCACTGAATTTCTCGACTATGTTTTGTTGCTTTAACTCCTTACAATTTCTACGCTTGCACAAAATGAAAAGGAAAGGCTACATGGGTACTACAAAGATACGGCAGCCTGATATTTCTTTCTCCAGTCTTTATTCTCCAGTGCCTTGGGCATGGATTCAGTGTTCTCCACCAGGGCCTAAGCAACACCTGAAGGTTAAGGAGAGCACACTTCTGTTGTGCATACACCTCGGCCTCGTATCCTGCAGGAAGCAGCACGCTCTGCCTGCCAAGCACATCTGGATTTGCAGTCAAGGAGGCATAGCAAGAGAGCCTGCAACGCCCAGTACCTTGCATCTATCACTGAGGTTAAGCTCTCAGCTTCCAGCCTCCGGAACACATGAGGAAGCTGTACCACAACGTGGCTAATGGAGCCGATCTGCGGGATGTTCCGGACGGCTACCTGTGAGAATAAAATAAGACACTTAGGGAAGTAGTAAGTGATGCTTTAAAAGTCAATCAGGGCACTTGCTGCTAGTGACTTATATCTTCAGGCAATATCTTTTTTTTTTTTTTTTTTATATGAAGCTATATTTACACATATAAACATAGCAGATCTATTAAATAGATGTGACTACTGGTTATGTCTTCTCTTCCATATGTCTAAGATGGAAAACTCAGGTTCTCACTTTTCCTACTTCTCCAAGCAGCAACATGTTTTTGAGCTTCCTTTTTAATATTAGGAAATAAAGGAAGCAAGAAAACCACTCATTTAATAAACAAATGAAACATGGTAATTTATGCAAGAATATAAAATTATGAACAAAATCAAACCTAATTCGATACGCAACTGTTACTCATAAAACAAAAGTATCAAGTACTGTTACTTTTGTCACAGCATCAGAAATACTGTGCATCATCATGGAGATTCAACCTGAAAAAACTGGCTAATGGAACCTGCTGGCCCACAAAACACAAGGGAATCGTACAAGGGAATCTTATCTTTGTACAAGGGAATGTGGAAGGCTTCCACATGTTGGGTTTTCTACTCCTCTCCCCGTCCATTAAACCAGCATTTAAGGGAAGGATTTCAGGCTCCACGTGAACTTACCTGTCCCGTGTAATTGAAGCAGTGCTTGTTGAAGATGGAGTTAATCTGGGGATTTTGAAGAGCGCTGAAGAGCAGTGTCTGACGGTAGTACTTGGACCAGTTATTGAGATTGAGCATGCGCACTCGGGAGAAGTCCACCCCATGGGAATCCAGGGGCAGGAGGTTCATGTGCTTCATCAGATGCTGCACAAAAGGAAACACAGGCTGGTACCACTGCAGCCACACTGCAAGAGCCTCCCCTGCAGCAGAAAGAGAGCCGGGGCGAGCAAGGCAGCACCCAACAACAGCTGTGACCTCTCCCAGCACGACTGGAACCAGCAGGCAACAGCAAGAGCAGTTTGGTCTGGGCAGCCTTACACTCTGGTACAGTCTTAGCTTCCAATTTTCACCCACCTGGCACGGATAGCAGGAGTTATTGTTTGGTTGTATTCAAGACAAGCTCAGGAACCTCAGGGCTATTGAAGAAAGCTCAAGTGCACTTCTCTGCACTCAGGGAAAATTCAGGTAGAAGTGGGAAAAAAAATAAAAATAAATAAAGTCACTGCTTTACTGCTTTTTGGCCTCGGTGGTATCTAGGCTGCTGTACCTCTTGGGCCCAGAAGGAAAAAAAAGCAGGAAACAAACTCCAGGACACAGTCTTTGGATATTAGCCAAGCTCACTTGCCCTTCCTCAGACTCCCAAGAAAACAAGACACCTTCTGGACTCTAAATTCAAGATATACAGTAATATCATGCTCTCAAAGTGCCCAGCCCAGGTCCCCTCAGGTTTTAATATGAAAAGAAACCTTTCATCTTTGGAAGTGTGATTAACCAGGAGTCAAGAATGTGGATTCTACTCCATACTATCCGAATCCTTGGACTATATTTTCCTTACACATACAGAAAAGTCCTCATAATGCTCTAGCTGGGCCATGGCTAATGCTTAATATCCCTCTGTGATCAACGGAGACAAGCAATAGCTCCCATTGCTGACCAGAGGAGCCTAAATTAGGCTGTACAAATTCCCTACACGCCTGCAATTAACTGAGGCACTGGGCACTCAGACAACTGGCATGTTTTCTCCCAGATGTGATTACAGGAATCATCATTATCTCATCCTGCAAGGTAATTAGAGCTGTCTAAAAAATATATATATATATATCTGATTAAATTTACTAGTAAGGCACCAAATACCAAGATTTACAGGGTTTAGGTGATGAATACTACCAAAATCCACAGGTAGATTATCCTGAGAAAACACCAGGTTGAAGGGAGGAAAGGGTATGTATCAGGAAGAGCATCAGCAAGAAAATACCTCTACTGTTCAATTCTAGAAAACAAACAAACAAAAAAACACCCCCAAAACAAAAAAACACTTGCATCAGAACAACAAGACAGTAAAACAAAAATAATATACAGAAAAACCCACCAGAACATGTTCCCAATTCTGCATCAGGTAAATATCTGCTTGGTCAATTATGAGAATTTCTATTGATGACAGAAAATCAAAATCTCTTTTCTTCTCGCCCTCTGCCCCAATAACAGTCCTCATACCCAGGGGAGAGGCAATGATGATGTCTGAGGAGTAAAATGGCGCGTACAACCTCATGCTCTTTTGGAGAATCGCAACCCCTGTCCAACAAAAGCCAACAACAGTGTTTTAGTAAAGTCAGTCACCAACTTGTTTTCTTCTAGAGGCTTCTGTAACTGCTTACATTTCCTCTCCCTTCACACATACTAAGAGCTGAACAAAACCATCCTAGCCAGAACTCTTATTTTGCTGAAAATGCGCCCCCTTCTTCCTTTTTCCTGTCCCCCTCACCATACTCCATCTTCACATTATTCCTTCAGGGCGGGGGGGGACAGATTTTCGTAAAGTTCAGTAAATTCAGCAACATTTTCCCCCAAAGTTTTTCATATCCAGAATGATGCTGGTGAACTAAAACAGATTTTCCTTGACTTTCAGCTGAAAGCCTGGGGAAAGGCAGGCTGAAGATGTAAACATAAATGTGTGTTTATGCTGGCATTGCTTTCATTCACAGGACCACAAGAGTCACTAATAAGACAGGAAGGAAAAAGTTCTTCACTTGACAGAGTATCGCTTAGACCTTGCATTCTCACAGGGAATGTGATGCCAGCAAAGGTCTTGCTTCTGTGATACACAAACTGGCTTATGAGTGATCTCTATATTAGAGAAATAAAAGAAAAAAAGGAAGCAAAGGAGTTCGTTACCTCTGCCATGACTACATGGCAGCATTACTGGGACCCAGGATTTTCTGATCTCAAAAACCAGATGTTTCAGATCATATTTGAAACAGCCACTACAACCAGCAAAGGCACCTCTAACTTCTCACTCCTGTTTGGAGCCAGCTGTCATGGTCACAACTGAAGTTGCTTTTAAGAATTTCACACAGACATCAATAACTACCTCTCCCACTATCTTATTTAACCCAATGATAAACATTAAGAAACTGTCACAATTGGCTCAATTTCCAAGATACCACTGGTTGCTGAACACACTAGCATGCACGGAGTTTAAGTTGAACAAGTTTTTTTTTGTTGTTGTTGTTGTTAAGAATGTGTAATAGTGACTTCAGCAAGGTCATTTAAAGTATTAAGAAATATACTTGAAATTACATTTTAGTGCTGAATTCACAGGGTACGAGGCACAAAGAGAAAATAATTACTTTGCTTCTGCAAGCAATAGCACAGAAAGTTTTTTCAAGCACTTCTTCACACTTAGTAAGTGGATGAAGCAGATTGCGGTATGGGAAGGGATTGAAAAGAAGTTATTTTGCTACAGAAAGTAAGATGCTCTCAGCAAGACAGATATTCACTAGCAAAGAAAGAATGAGTGGGAACTGCTTGCATCCTCCACTATATCATTAAATCTCCTGGGATGCCAATTTATGTTTCAAGGGGCAATAATTCTAAGGGCCTCTCATCTATCAAGAGAAGTTAGAAAAACTGCCTACTCATCCTGGCACCTCCAGCAATGAAGCTCCTAGCTAATTCTCTGCATACTGAGTTACCAAACCAGCGTGAAAGCACAACATTATGAAATAGGCTTATATTTGCTACTTATTCAATGGTCCTTCTTGCTCGCTATCACTCTTCACGTGCAAAAAAAACATAGGCAGTACTGTAGAAAATTGTTTTGCTCAGTACCAAGGTTCAAATTTTGTTCCAGTCAATATGGACTATATAATAAATTGTAAGCAAACTCATTTGGCCTGAAAGGCTTAGATAATGTCAAAGTTTGTTGCATAATCAAGACTGCTAGAGATATGGGCAATCCTGCCACTATAATGCAATCATTAAGTTATGATTTAAGTGCACCTGACCTTGATGGGAAAAAAAAATCATTTGTTTCATGTTTCTTCAAGTTTTGGCGAGGCAGGAAATATTTTGCCAATTCAAAGACAGCATAAGTTCCTCTGAGACTCAAGTCTCACCAGAACTTCCAGCCCTGATGGTGGCTTTCACTCATCTAAGAAGAACTAAATTTAGATGACTCCTGGCTTCTTTACAAGTAAAAGATGATCCATTTAGTAGGTCAGTACCGATTCTGAAGTGGTCATCGATGTTGCCAGCAAAGACAGCTTCATAATCTTCAGGTCTTTTCAGGTTGGGGGGCTTCTCTTCTGGGTCAGAGCCGAACTCCCCTTTGAAGCGCTTTTTATTGCTCACATCTATTTTTTTGTCACTCTTCACTTCCAGAAGGCTGATGAGGTTGTGCACAATTCGCAACGCGCATTCCCGAAAGGGCACCACCATCAGTACCTGCATACAGACCAGCGTGTGACAACAGATCAGCCCATAGAATACAAACATCCACATACTAAATAACTATTGTGTTAAGTAATTATTTTGACGCAGACCTGTACCTATTGGGTCTCCACGGAGCCGAACTCCCCTTTGAAGCGCTTTTTATTGCTCACATCTATTTTTTTGTCACTCTTCACTTCCAGAAGGCTGATGAGGTTGTGCACAATTCGCAACGCGCATTCCCGAAAGGGCACCACCATCAGTACCTGCATACAGACCAGCGTGTGACAACAGATCAGCCCATAGAATACAAACATCCACATAATTACTTAACACAATAGTTACTTAGTATTTTGACTCAGACCCTGTACCTATTGGTCTCCTGACAATCAAAATGCACAGTAACACGGACTTGTCAGCAGCTCAGCCCGGTTCTCCAGCTCACACATAGGGCACCACTACCAGGAACTTGCAACCAAGCATGTCCTCCTGTGCTCCCTACGTAGGCAAGGGGGAGCACCTTCAGTCTCCCAGCTCTACCAGCTTGCACAATACGTGGGTAAGGGCAAAGTTTGATTCTTGAGTGTGTGGCAACAGCCATTCATCATACCCCCTCCATGATTTGGGGGGTTTAAACTAACAAGTTACCACTGGGGAGAAAGAAAAAAAAAAAAAACACACAGAAGCATTTGCCAGAGGTGCAGAAAATATTGAAACCTAACTTAAACTATTCAGCAGGTAAACAGGCACCTCCTGTGACAGGCTAGCGCAAACTGACTCTACCTGGTTATTAACTAGAGGATACTGTGCATTAGCAAGATGTACATCATTAAAATGATGCTTTTAACTGTGGGAGAGAGCTCACAGTTCTCATCATACAATACCATGCACCGAGGAGGAGTGCCTGGAGCAAAGCACAACCTGTTGGGACAAAGGGAAGGCAGAAGGAACTAGCTGAGCTTTGGCAGGAGACCATGGCCATGCGAACCAGTCCTTAACAAGTGGATAAGGACAAGAAAACAATCCTCTGGGGCACCCCACATTGGACAACAGTCTCCAGTACCTGCACTAATACTGAAGATGAACATGGAGACCCTTTCAGTACTGGCAGGTTCAGAAATGGAAGCAGAAGGCAACAGGTCAGTCTGCAGTAATAAAAGGACATGGAGAAAAACAAGCCAAACTCAACACAGAAACAGGCTGACTGACAAACTTATGCTCTCTACTTCACTACTTCTGACAGGGTATTTTGCCCTGGCCAAACGCAGACAGCTTCCAGGCACAACCAACAGATATGTAAAGGCACATGCCTGGAAACATGCCACACAGCAGAGCAGCTGTGAATATATTTCACCACAAAACACATGATTTTTATGTGGCCTGACCAAACACCCTAGGCAGAGGGAGATCATATAGAAAGAGTTCTTTTACCTTAGGTCTAGTGAGCCCTTGATCTCTGTATTCATCAGTATCAACCCCTGGCTTTCGGTCCCTTCGTTTAGCATTATTGCTAAGCACCTGGGCATTTGCCTTCAGGACATGGTTCAGTGCATGCAGGCAATAAGCAAGGCGTATTTCTTCTCCATTTGTTAAAGCAGTTGTTTCTGGATAGAACAAGTCCCTGTAGGTATTCATGATACAGAAGAGCTCTCTTTGTAGTGGAGTAAAACAGGAATCGCATGATTTGTTCAGTGAGGAGAGCAACTGTTTGTTCACTTTCGGCCAAGTGACTTCTAAAGGCTTGTGAAGATGAAGCTGCTTCACATCAACTTCTTTGTCCGGTTTTAAGGTTTCCTGTTTCTCCAAAGTGGATGAGAAAGTTAACTGACCCAGCCTTGGCCACTAAAAGAAAAGAAAAGCCAAAGGTATTAAACTTCATACAGCTAGAAGCACACCACTACTGCAGGCAGTTTAATAACGTTCATGAAGTTTGAGAAATAATCTCTTCACAAGTTGAAACCATTCCTTCACTATGCAATATCTTTTCTCCTTTAATATCTACTGTGGAAAATAACAATAAAAGTGAGACAGCAATCACAGCACTCATTTTATAGATTAAGGAGAAGAAAAAAAAAAAAAAAAACCTCAAGAGAAGGAAGGAGCCCAACATGAGCCCGCAAATCAGTGGCACAAAACAGGGACAAGACAAGAACACAGGAGTTTGGCTCTGTTTATACACCAGCCACTCCGAGGTATTTACTCTGAAGAAAAAAAGATAATTAGGGACTAAACCCAGAAGTTCAGAATCAATTGCCAATGCCAGTCTAGATGGAAACTTTAATTTCCAGGGTGAAAGCTGTAGTGGGGGGAACTTCTTGCCATCTAAGCTGTCTCAACCTATTGGTGTAAAATAGCTACATGAAGCTAACCAAAGATATACAGCACATTGCTTCAGGTGGCACTGAGGAAGGAAAAGAAAATAAGTACAGTTTGCTCTGACTGACTAACCACTGGATACCTTCCAGTGAATGTCACCCAGCATATGGCTGACCAGAATGCAAGGCAAACCTCCAAAACAAAACCAGAAACAAAGGTTAGGAAAAAAATGTTTGTCTAAAAGAGAATATTATTTTTCAAACATTACTTCTCAAGCAGCGAAATGCTTTTCTGGTACAGTAACTGACACATTAACTCCCCAAGTGAATAATTTAATATCGGAATTTACCTTTACCTGCTTGTAAATATACACAAAGATACAGCCATCCTGAAACAAAAGGCCTACACATGGTCACCTCCAGTTCAGTCACAGAGCAAGTTACTGGTGGTGTGCTGCTACCCTTCAAACCAATCTGTTCTGTCTGTGCTCAAAAGCAGTACCTGTGGTTTCACAATTACATGCCTAAGTTTCTCAGATGTGTTACTTTTCGCCTCCATTACAGCTGACTTGAGATTTCAACTCTAGCTTAGTGCTGAGCAAAGATAGTCTGACAAAACCTTGACAATGCCAAGAGCTACTAATAATTAGAAATCTGCTTGCATAATAAGGTTATTTTAATTCCCAAATCTTAAGGGATCTGGACAGCTTCAGAAAACTATTACCTTTATTTGACTTGAAGACTTAGAAAGCGTAGACATTTTTTCTACTTCTTTTTCTTCCATTTCTTTGTCCATGTGTTGCTTAAATGGATCTGTTTAAAACAAGACAAAACCAAACAAACAAAATAACCCCACAAAACTATTGCGGCTAATACTATAATTGAGTTTCAAAACGGATTTGTGAAGGACGGTATTTCTCTGCTGGCTAATTTAAAATTAGTTATTCCAGAGCACTTTGAAATAGAGACAGGATGGCAAATTCTCTCTACAAAAAACAAAGAAAGATTTGACAGACTGCCTTTTTTTTTTTTTTAATCTAGATAGAGATGTTCCTCTGGAAGTACTGTAATTTTCAATCACAAAACAAGTGCTGGACAGGAAAGCAGTATGCAGTGGGAAAGTGCTGCAGCAGTGTGCAGTGGAAGACCACAGTGATCTTCAGCCTTAAGCTCTGACACCCGAGAACATCAGCTAGCACCTCCATCCTTCAATAACAGAGAGTCAATAACAGAGGCCTATGTGAGCTTAGTGCCCTTTTTGATTTATAAAAAGTTCTGCCTAAAGCTTCGAAGTTTAGGTCAAGTTTAGGTGTTTAGGCCAAGTTCAGGTTTTTATCACAACAGAGTTTGAACAGATAAAGATCAGGGGGGCTGAGGGAAGGGAGGTAGGAATTGCTTGAACTGAGTAAAAAACTGATTTACTTAATCAGCATTTCTTTTTCTTTTTTTTTTCTTTTTTTTTTAAAAAAAAAGAGAAAGATTGATGCAGACTTAAAAAAACACATGCACAGGTATGCACAAGTCACACGCAAAGCTTATTTTGAAAACCAAACTCTGTGTATTGATTGCTAAGAGAAGATACACATGCATCAAGAAAAATAATAAGAATACTAATGCCTGGTACCTAGCCCACGTACAAGCTGTCCAGGCAGAAGTCAAGACACTTGTTAGTCACATTGCCAAGAATATTTCCCCAGGAATGCAGATAAGAGAGATATCATTTAATTATAATATAGGCTCATTCTCCAATGAGTTTTACTGATACCAGCATTGGTTAGATAAAGCAATAGGAATGATGTAAAGTATTTTGAGAGATTCTAGTGACACCAGAACTACAGTGTAAGTTTATCACCTCTACTATTTTATTCATTTTCTGTAAAATGATTAGAGCCATTTGCAAGCTGCATGAAGCCACTGAAATGCACTGCCTCCTTTGCAAGCTGAACAAAGCTGTGTGACACCTAACATGCATTTGGAGGCTGTGGTTTTCATTAAAATGCAACGCCAACAGCATTAAGTAATATTCTCACGGTAACGACGAGTTGGGTTTTTTCCCCTCTATCACACAGCCCTTTGATGCTTCCACTCACTTCACGTATCAGCCAGGCTGCCTCCCACATCTGATGTCAGCTGCTGCTCTAGGGTGACAAGCCAGCACCACGAGGGATGCTGCAGACATACTCCCCTCTCACACACGATACGCCCCCGCTGCGAACGCTGCACAGTATAAAACACAAAGAGCAGCTGTGCGAGCGCCAGCCTATGCTGGAACCACAGAAAGCTCCCAGGCCACTGCGCACAGCTCTGTGCTGTGCACGGGGGACAACTCCAACCCCGGGGCTCAGGCTGCCCCCCTGAGCACACCGCACCATTCAGCAAGACTTCTCTCTCACGTTCACAGTTCCTGGTAGTTCGTCTTTAAAAGTCAAGATGGGAGCCACGCACAGATCCCATCTGTGGGGGCTGTGGAAAACAAGCGATTGGGTGTGGGTCTAAGTGGGCTAATGCAATACCCACTGCATTAGCTTTAATATCCTATATATAACTGGCTCCCAAGTGGGAGATACAGTGAATAATGTTTCAGAAGCTATACAGCATGTCATTAGGGAGTTCCACAACTTATACTTGTCTACAGATGCTGCCCTAGAGACATGTCACTAAACAGAAACATACTGTGTGTTACCTTCTGAAGAGGCTTGCAAGGTACTGCTCCTTTTCTCATCTACATCACAATCTCCACTCTCCTCTTCCATGAAATTGGTTTCCAAGCTGAATTCAGATTCATGTTTCACATCAGTAAACTCCTCAGTTACTGCATGACTGGGGTCACAAGACACGTCTTCACCATCACACTGCTCCTCACCAAGTGTCTGCTCTGCTGTAGCTGTGATTTGTTGGGAACAGAAGTAAGTTAAATTCTCCTGGAAGAATTGCTACCTATAGTCACCTTTTGTTGTATTTTTAGTTACTAGATTTTTAGTTACTAGATTTATTTTTCTTCAATTTATCTAAAAAACAAACAAACAAACAAACAACAACACAGAAAAAAGTATAGTGCATTTTGCAGTAACACAGACTTTGGTCTCGCCAGCTATATGTTACACAGAACGACATGCACTGCCCCAGAGGAGGATTTAAGATATATCCTATTCAGAGGTTAGAAGTTTCAGTTGTCAAAGATCCTAACTTTTTATAAAAAGTTGACTCCTTTCTCCCATATTTTTTTCCACAGAAAAATGAGGCTCCCTCCTTTTAAAGGAGGAGTTTTTCTTTGAATTTAAATATTCTTTCCCCTACCACAAGGCAAACCTTTCTCTCCTCCCTGCGGCAGTAGCCAAACCAGATGCTGTGCGAGACAACAGCTTGCGTTTCACAGCAAGCAAGGAAGATCCCCTGGTATTCTGCTCCTTGTGGATTCCCCCCGTTGCTGCACAAACAACATCCAAGGGAAAAATCAGTGGGCTGTCTGCTGGAAAATGAGCAGAACCAGCTTCTCCCCTGCTAAATCCTCTAGCAGCTGCTGCCACCCACACAGAGGCAGCAGAGCAACAGTCTCTCCAGAGTAGAAGAGCACCCAGCCAACAAGCCAGGCTAAACCAGGAGCCTTGCTAAGACAGCTGCTTCCAAAATTTCTACTTGAAATATTTTTTACCCATGTAAAGGAGAAGACAAATACCTTTTTTGTCTGGCATATCATTTTCATCTTCTTCACCAACTTCTGCTTCTCCATTTTCCTGGTGCTCTTCACTATCCATTTCTGTTCCACTTTCCCCAGCTTCTTCTGATTCACTTTCATCATCATCATCATCATCTTCACTCTCAGACTCAGGAGAGGTCTTCAATGTAGCCAGCAGTTTGTGATACACTGAGGCCTGCTCAGGTTCAGTCTCTGAATCACTTTCTGCACTTGATTTATCTGAATTCTCAGACTGAAAATGAAAACAAAAGGGTAAGAGCAACAATGGTAACAACCTGGCTGACAGACAACATACCAACACACCTCCTCTAGCTCCTTCTCCCAGCCTATCCTTACCTAGATGCAAAGGAGAATTTCAAGAAATACTCTATTTTATGTAGCTAGTTATACTGGACACCTCCATTCAGATTTTGAAAATACCTTAGTACACTTAAGCACATAGGAATTTCAACAACAAAAAACCCACATAATAAATCTTGGAGGTAATTTTAAGACCTTCCTCAGCAAATATTTTAGACATTCCTAATATCACAGTGTTAGGCTAAATTACCAAACTACTAGCAAAACCATAGTTTATGGGTGCCATATTTTTGTTCCTTATAAACACTGGTATGTCATATCAATGAAGTATTGTTAAACTTCTCTATGAATGAAAATAGTCTCCAATTACAAGAATCTGCTCACCCTTCCTCATCTCCAATAAATTCAATTACTATTTTTTTTTAAATACTAACTAGTAGATAGTTCTGCACTGACTGTTCTTCAGTCAGCACATGAAACAGAGCAGCACAAAACTTGGCTCTTTCACTCTCCACCAAGTCAGTGCACATGAACTCCATGGCGTTACTAAAGCGCTGCTGGATTCTCCTAAGAAAATCACACATATAGCAGGGACTGCGGAAATAAAGCACACACCCAACTAGTCCTTACTTCTTCCTTTCATCCCAAAGTGAACATCAGTATATAAAATACTAACTAAAAAAAAGCTAAAAGAAATAAACAAACTGGAATATTAATTTTTTCCACACCAAAACTCTGAAGCTGTTCAAAGTTAAATCGAGGTCTCTTAACAGCTTCCAAATTTTTAATTAATCTGATGATAAATGAGGGTAACAAGCCCTGACCCACAAGTTATAGCACTGGGCCTCTGAAGCAGTGAGCATTAACACACTCCTGCATGCAATAGAAAATTCTCATGTTCAGCACAGAAAAACAATTTTTCCTAAGCCATGCAACACTAAAGGAGTCCGTGTAAATCAAGTTCACTCACGTTTTTCCAAATAATTTAAAAACATGATTTACTTTTCACTATGAAAAAGTAATATGCAAAAAAACAAAAGAGATCAGCAGTGTTATTTCCTGCTGCTTCTGCCCTCTCATGGTATCACAGTTTTGATACAGTTGTACAGAACAACTAAGAACCACACTTTTTTCCTCCTAAAGGCAGATCTTCTAAATGTAACAATTAAATCTGTCTGAATAATCAGTAACATGAAATGCTAAGTGTTGTTCGGTTGTCAGTTCAGTGAAAAGAGGGAAGTGAGAGGAAAAAAACAAAACAAAACACAACACAACTCTTACCAGGTCACAGATTTGAGTTGCTTCTGGTTTTCCAGAAACCCTGAAAAGAAAGCACTGAAATAATGTACTCTGTTGATGGTGTTACACACAGGAGGAATAGGTGACAGGCAGGAGGATGGGAAGAGTCAAACTGCACAAGTCTTAATGAAGTTACACTTTAAAAGAGAATCTTCATCCATGCCGCTCCCCCTACACTGAGAAAATGGACTCACCTCTCGGTCACCCTCCCAGGGAACAACCTATAGCGTGAAGCCCCTGAACATTATAACTGCTCAAGAAGAAAAATATTTCCAGTTATTTTCCAGTTTAATCATAAGCTTAGGTGTTAAAAAGGATCTAATCACAGAGGTGAAAACTGAAAAAGAGCTTCAGAAATTTTCTATACAGTATCTAGTGGAACTGGAGGAGGAGAAGTTACACACGGGAGGAATAGGTGACAGGCAGGAGGATGGGAAGAGTCAAACTGCACAAGTCTTAATGAAGTTACACTTTTAAAGAGAAGTTTCATCCACTCCGCTCCCCTACACTAAGAAAATGGACTCACCTCTCGGTCACCCTCCCAGGGCACAACCTAGAGCATGAAGCCCCTGAATATTATAACTGTTCAAGAAGAAAAATATTTCCAGTTATCTTCCAGTTTAATCATAAGCCTAGGTGTTAAAAAGGATCTAATCACAGAGGTGAAAACTGAAAAAGAGCTTCAGAAATTTTCTATACAGTATCTAGTGGAACTGGAGGAGGAGAAAAAAAAAATAGAATAAAATAAAAGCCACGTGGAAAGGGCAGCCCAGAGCTACCAGGGAAAGGACAGCAGAAACACGTTTAAAGGAGCATGGAAGCAAGAGACGCTGCAAGGATCTCCGGAGCTGGGGAAGAAACGGGACCAGTGTGGCCTAGGCGAGATGACTATCGGGAAGCAGGAGTAAGGGAAGACGAAATCAGCCTCGGCGCGCTCCGTTTTGATTTATTACGAGCGAAGTTTTCTTCAGCGTTTTCCCTCGAGGCCCCCGGGCCGCAGCTGGGAGAGGCGGGCCCGGCGCGGGCCGAGGGCGCGCGGAGGCGCAGGGCCCGGCCCGGCGGCCCCGCTCACCTGCCCCAGAAGGGGCCCCGCTCCCCTGTCGTGGAAGGGGTGCTGCTCGCCGAAGT